TTTTTTCGCACAGCTATTTGATCACAAACACACGCACACAACTTTGGAGCCTGTGAGATGCATCCAACCATAACGGCATTCTATCGGACGGTGTGGGGCTACTGTGCAACACTCACAATGATTAGTATGGCATACAAACAAGTTAGTTTCACTATCCATTTCGCTGCTCAGCAAACGCATGGAAAAGGTTCACATTTTTAATAGTTCATAGCAGAAATGATATAAAACGCATAGCGGAGATGATATAAATTTTGTCGCGGCAGAATAGCCAAAGGGAATCACCACTAACAGAGAAGAATCATTATTGCACACTCGAGGTGTTGGCCAACTATTCAATAATTTGCGACGTAGTTGAGGAAGCGGAATGCTAAAGACCGGTTGAAGACCACGAACAGGAGCACAGTTGTAGATCTTAGTCCAAGACATAGGTTGTTTTGAAACGACAAGGCTGCCAGAACTCCTTTGCGTTTATCGATGGAATCTCGATTTCCCTCTAACAATACCCCGTTCTCTCGTAGCCGTACCTACTAATTCATTTATGTTTTCATAACATTCATCTCTTCCTTCTAGTTTCGTTTCCCTGCAGGACAAAAAGTCATCCCAACAAGAACTTGTTTGACATCAAATGAGTTTGAGTGAATCATGCTCAACGTTTTGTAGTTGGGCTATATGCTTCTGACCGCAACCAACGTGACTTGATCGTCTTGATAGAATATTTCATAATAAGTAGTATGTCAACGTTGGTTACACTTATTAGCATCTAATCAATCTACAAAACTGAATCATAGTATTGATTCTTCAACGGATTGGTTCTGAAAAAGTTGCAAACATGGTTATTGCGACGAAAATAAATCTTTTACCCTCTGCGCCACGTCATTGTCTGCCCACCTCACTGTAGCTTCCGGCCTGGACTGCTGTTTGTGAATAGCGCACAGTGTGGCAGAAGATGCTCAGGAACTGCCCTAGCCACTTAGGACGATGACACGAAACTAGTTTACTCAGCGGAAGACCATCGGATTCTAGCATCCGTAGTTTGACCTCACCGATATCAACAAGATGTTCTTACGGTACGCGGGCGATGTTGCGCAAACAACAGAGTCCGAAGACGGACAGTCCTTGGACGTGATCTGCTCCGAGGGGACAGGATTCGCAATGATAGAGCGAAACAGTGTGTACCGTTCGCAATACAAGCCCTTTCAGTGAAAGGGATATCTCGTACCACCGCCAGAGATGCCTCGTGTCAGCAGACCTTAATCTCCCTACCAAGGGTAAATCAAATTCCTTCCGTGACAGGTCTCTAGAAGCACCCACAAGGATCCTCCGATCACGCTCCCGCGTTGGATTTACGCCCCACTACCATGCGGGTCAGACTCTTGAATCAAAGGCTCCGGTTAGAGTTCCAAAGAGAAACCCTTCGCCGGTGTGGACTACCACGGAGTATGTCGTGCCCTGAAGCCTTCGGCACCCATTTCGAAAAACCTTTTTCTCACATGTCGAGTTGTTCTTCTCAATCCCGAATAGTCCCAAAAGCCTGCTGTTCACAAGACCCAGCGAATATCACTCAGCATTTTACACGCAAGGTCAAACAGCCGGAAGCTACAGGATTTTTGAAGCCAAAATTCCCTTTTCACTCAGCTGCACTGAATGTCCGCACACTTTATCAGATCGGTCAACAAGCTGCCTCGGCTAGAACCCTTGGAACTTTCAATTTTGATGTATGCTGTGTCTCCGGAACACGCACACAAAATCCTACTTCAATTATCTCCTTACGTTCTCTCGATCCAACCTCAACCTCACGCTTCATCCTTCGTGTGTCAGGCGATTCAGCGTCCGAAGATCGCGGTGTTGCTGGTGTCGGGATTGTGCTAAGTGCCAAGGCGGAGCGCTCGCTTCTCGACTGGATTCCAGTCAGTAGACGACTATGCGCTGTACGTCTCAACGGTTCAACACGGGTCACCAGCTACAGAACGAAGCGTCGATGCTTATTCGTCGTATCGGTGTATGCACCGACCGAATGCAGTACACCTGAAATCAAGGACGAATTCTACAACGACATTTCTCGATTACTCCAAAGCGTTCGATTAACGGACATTGTGGTAATAGCTGGAGACTTCAATGCTCAAGTGGGATCCCGGGACGAATCAGAAAGGCTTCTTGGCGGACCACATGCAATCCCAGCCAACTGGACGGACAACGGAGATCATATTCTTCAACTCTGCGCGGACCACAGATTGGTCCTGTCAAGCACGAACTTCTCGCACAAGAAACGACATCACCTTACATAGAAACCGCCAACCTCTTCACAGCGCTGGACCCAAATCGACCATATCGTCATCAGTTACCGCTGGAAAGGGTCGATTCAAGACTGCCGCTCGTACTGGACAACGCCTGTAGATACGGACCACGCTTTGCTACGAGCCAAATTCTCCTTACACCCGGCAAACAACCGTAAAAAGGCAACCGACAACGGATGCCCACGATACAACGTCAGCGATTGCTGCAAATTAGCCGAGGTCAAAGCGGAACTCTCCGATCGCCTGTCAGTTCAACTACCAGCCGAAGGACTCAATGAACACTGGAAGCAAATCAATGAAGCTATGCAAATATCGATAAAAGCAACGCCAAACCCTCATGCAGGCTCAAAACATAAACGATGGATTTCATCGACCTCGGTTGCCTTGCTGGACGCCCACAGAACCCTTCCTCCTGATGCTACATATGACACAGCGCGCAAATGTCCCTAACGCCAGCTCATCAAGAGTCTGAGGAATGACCGCGAGAAGTGGTGGATAGAAAAGTGTAAAGAGATAGAGAAAGCTGCGGTTATTGGTAATAGTCGCAATTTTTCCGTCTAATTGGGAATACGGGCCCCAGGAAAATAGGCGTAAGTGAGGTAATTAAGGAATCCGATGACACATTGATTCACAATCAGCAACTCTGTCTTGATCGATGAACTGAACACCTAAAGGTCCAGTTCAACTGGCCCCCATAGACATCTGAACTATCACCCTCCACAGAGACTGGGCAAATACTCCCAGTTGATGCCAGTCCTCCATCTGAAATGGAAGTTTCCCGAGAAATAAGTTATCTCAAAAGTCATAAGACCTCCGACCCAGACGGAATGTCCCCATCCGCTTTTAAGGATGGAAAATTAGCCTTGGCTCTGTTGTTCACAAAACTCCTGGGATCAGTGTGGGAGAGGGAACAGGTTCCAACTAAATGGTGTGAATCGGTGATCATACCGATTTGCAAGAAAGGTGACAGATCCTCTCGTGAAAACCACAGAGAAATTAGTTTAATCAACATTGCTTCTAAACTTCTCGCTGGTATCATACTCCGTCGATTGTCTGCCGCAGAGGAACGGTATACGTGTGAGAACCAGGCTGATTTCAGACCTGGTCGAGGTTGTACCGATCACATCTTCACTCTCCGCCAAACTCCGGAGCACCGACATTCCTTTCGAAGACCCACCACTTCTATCTTCCTCAATCTGAAAACGGCTTTCGATTCAGTCGACCGCTCTAAATTCTGGTGTCGCTGTTCCCTGAAGGGTGTGCCCGAGAAGTTTATTTTAATATTACGATCCCTCTATACTCATAGCCGAAGTCGAATCCGAGCTTACGGCACGTTTTCACCCGAATTCACCACGGAAAGTGGTGTTCGACAGGGTAGCACTCTCTTTTCTTTTCATTTCAACTCTGTCACAGATTTGTTCATGGAAACAGCCCTGTCCTCGTGCGAGGAGAGCGATGGCGATTTCCTGGCAGGTGGTTGACTGTTTGATCTAGAGTAGGCAGACGACACTGTGGTTCTAAGTGAAGCTGCAGGTAAGTTGCAAGCCTTTCTGGAGAGTTTGATTGCTAGTGTAGTTATGTTCGGTATGCGTTTTGCACCTTCAAGGTGCAAAATGCTGTTTCAAGATCGGGTTGATCCAGCCCCGAACCTCACCCTGAGTAGGGAAGTAGTAGAGAAAGTAGATAAGTTTTGCTCTCTGGGCGGACTTATAGTGGATGAAGTGTTAGTTAATAAGCAGAGGGCTCGATTGACATTTGCCGACTTGAGACATCTGTGGCGTTGTCGCGACATCCGGCTGTCTGTGAAGGGTCGAGTGTATGCTGCAGCAGTTCGGCCAGTTCTGCCATACGGCGCAGAAACTTGACCATTAAGAAAACAGGATAAAGATGGACTGTCGGTGTTTGAACACCACTGTCCACGCAGCACGGCTGAGTGTCGTTCGTGCATCTTTTCAATTCCTCTGCAACAATAGCCCACGGAAATTCTTTTTGATCCTGCATTCAACCTTCCTGTCCTTCTCGTACTCTTAACCCAAATGGGCAGCCGTAAGACAGCAGCAAAAACCGGTGCACGGTTAATGGCTGTACAAACTGAAACTGGAACTGAAACTCCTTATCTCCGCATACAGTTCCACAGTGCGGGGCAGCGTCGAAGGCTGCTCTGATGTCCAAAAACACGACAATAGGTTTGCCGCTTGTATGCGTGGAGGTGGTCTAGTAGTTGACGAAGGGTGAATATTTGATCTATGCAATCACGTCGTGCACGAAACCCGGTCTGCTCCTTGCGGATTGGCTTTTCACAAAATGGGCTTAATCTGCGTTATAAAACGGGCACTAACAGGTTCTGTACTATTGGAATCAGACTTATGCCTCTGTGTTTGGAACAGGCGTTGAGACATCCCTTCTTGCAGATGGGTGAAACAATCGATTCTCCCCATGTATGGGGTGCATTTTCAGTTTCCCGGATCTTCGAGAACAGGCTGACAAGCTCACAAACAAAGCTGTCTACCACCTGCGTAAACAAAATGTCTGAACAAACGTGTAAGACCCAGGAATAGAGAACTGTCAAACACCATGCATTGATGATTACAATCGAACTGAGAAACAAGGTGACCCGAAAAGATTGTTACCTGGAGGAGTATATATGAAAGGGTGGGGCACACTGTATCGTTCACCGGATGAAATGACCAATTCCACTTCTAACGGTTCGGTGATCGGCAGTGACGGTCCGTCATATGCCGGCACACGACAAATGACATGAGTCTAAAAAAACACACAGGGGGGGGGCAAATGAAAGGTATGAATTTTCAAAAACATGCTACAGACTATTGTGATCAAATAACAAGGGATAACTTAGTAAACTAGTGATCGGGTATGAGAACATTCGTCAACATTTTCCTTCGACTAATGAACGCCTGATAGGACAGGACAAAAAAGTCTGTTCGATGTCAGGAAAATTACAGAATACCGTGTTCAGGTGTTAATTCGAAGAGTATTTCTCAATACACTGGTAAACA